AGGTCAGCTTTGATGCAAGGAGACAGCGCTTACACCTTCGCCTTCCTAAGGTTATTTCTCAAAGGATTCTAGGGAATAAGTCAGAAGCTGCTTCCCCCTCTGAAGCCAGGCTTCCTTGCAAGTCACAGCAATTTTATCGGGATTTTTGCCTGGTCAGCCTGCCTAGGGTTATACTCACTGTTTCTCTTAATTTCTCCTATCGTTTAGGTTCTCTGAGCCGTCAGCTGAGTTACTTCAGACAGGAAGTACTTTTACACAGCCAAAAGAGGATCTGCTTCTGAAGTTGGGAGTTCGGACAGGCTACATCATTTATCTACACAGCAGAACCAAAACAAGCCCTCCACTAAGTGTTTTAGGATCTGGATTCTTCTGGAATCGCACCTTTCTGTCAATAAATGTTTCCTATTCTACTAAAATTAACAGCACTTCAATTATACCAACAGCACGATCAAGATCTTTATCAACAACACGCACAGACCACTTGTGTTGAGAAACACATCTTGCAGTCAGCTCACGGAAGAATAATTAAGGAACGAGATACCAGAGCGAAGACACCCCGTACGAAATAACCCCAACATTTAGCCAAAGTTTGTTAATTAAAAAAAATAACATCCAAGGCGCACGCTTTCAGCAGGCACCACCTTAGGTGGCCAAATGTCAAAAATCAGACCGGAGGGCTTAGGGGATTTGGGTGTAGCGAGAGTGTCCCCAAAGCCCTGTGACACCCCCCAAGCCCTGTGACACCCCCAAACCCTGCGCCCCCCCCATACAGCCCCTATCCCACTGACAGCCGGGGCCTGTCCCCCTCAGAGGTCTCACCACCGGGCAGCCCCCCAAAAAAACCCCAAAACTTCCCCGGGAGGCTGCAGCCGGTCGGGGGGGGGGGGCCTCACCCCTCACAGCGGGTCCCCCCCCCGGCCCCTCACGGCCACCCCCTGAGGCCTCACCGGGCCCCGGCGGGCGGCGCTGCCCTCCCCAGGCCTCAGCTGGTGGCGCCCGGCCGGGCCCGAGGCCTTCCTCCTCCTCCTCTTCCTCCCCTCAGGCCTTACCCCCCCCCACCACCACCTCAACGCGGCTCTCACCGGGTCCCAGCGCTTCCATGGCGGCGGCGGCGGCCTCGCTGCGGTCCCCCCCGGCCCCGCCGCTGCTGCCGCTGCCACCGCCGCCACCTCCACCTCCACCTCCGCCTCCTCCTCCTCCTCCGGCCCCGGGCCCCGCCGCCGCGGCGTAACGCTTGATCTCGGGAATATTGGCACCGGGGGGGGGCCCGGTGAGGAACCGGGGCGGGAGGGAGCAGCGGCGGGGCCGGACGACGAGGAGGAGGAGGAGGAGGAGGAGGAGGAGGAGGAGGTGGAGGAAGGGGCGCGGCGGGCAGCGCTCCGCTTCCCCGAGCTGTGGTGGCGGCGGCGCGGGGAGGGGATCGCGGGCGCCGAGCGCGCCCCCGCTGCCGCCAGCACCGGGTGAGGAAGAGGAGGAGGAGGAGGAGGAGGAGTGTGGGGGGGGGGGAGGGAGGAAGGAGAGGCCCCTCCACGCTGCCCGGCGCCGCCGGCTCGCGCACGCGCACCGCCCCCTGCCGGCGGGGGCGCGCACGCCGCCTCGCACCCTTTCGCCGCCGGCCCGGCAACAGGTGGAGGAGGGAGGGGGGGGGGGGCCTGTGCGCGGCCCCGTGCGCGGCCCCGAGGGCTGTGGAGGGGAGGTGGGGGCGCCTCAGAGCCTCAACACCCCCCCCTCAGGACGGCGGTCGGTGTCACAGTCAAGCTGTGGTGACCCCAAAACAGCCCCCGTGAGGTGGTGGAAATGTAAGGGGGTGATAAACCCACCCGTGACGCCCCCAAAAACAGCCGCGGACAGCCCCTGTCAGGTTCTGGAAATATAAGATGGTGCCCAAAGCAAGCCGTAACGCCCCAAAACCAGCCGCTGTCAGCCCCCGTGAGCTGCTGGAAACATAAGGTGGTGCTAAAGCAACCCGTGACACCCCCAAAAACAGCCCCGTCAGTCGCTGGAAATGTAAGGCGGTGCCAAATCGAGCTGTGACACCCCCAAAACCAGCTACTCTCAGCCCCCGTGAGCTTCTAGGAACATAAGATGGTGCCAAACCAACCCGTGACACCCCAAAACCAGCCGCTGTCAGCCCCCATGAGCCGCTGGAAATGTGAGGTGGTGCCAAACCCGTCCAAAACACCCCCAAAAACAGCCACTGTCAGCCCCCATGAGCTGCTGGAAATGTAAGACAGTGCCAAATAAACCCATGACACCCCCAAAAACAGCCACTGTCAGCCCCCATCTGCCACTGGAAACCCAAAGCACAGCTCCCTCACCATGGCTGCGTTAGGACTGACAGCAGCTCCGTTAGGACACCCGGCAGCTCACTGTTGGTGTGGGGATCAGGAACAGCGCTGGGATATCACTCAGGGTGCCTGGAAGGCAGCAGCAGTAGGGAACAGGACGGTGCCACCAGGATTTGGGGTGTCAGCCCTCTGGGGTGCATGCCAGGACGACCCCGTACCTCGCTGCGGCCTGGCCGCCGCGCTTCACCTCGCCCTCATGATGAGCTGCTCCCACATGCATCCCTCTCCTCTCTCAATTCTCCACTGGCTCACAAGAAGGACAGAAGTCAAAACATTCGATAAATAATAAATGCCGAGTCCATCATATTTGCTTTTTTTGAACCTGCAGGGCTGGTATTTTCCAAGACCTTTCCTACAAGTCGAAGCGTCAGAAACCTATTTTAAAATTAAACGAAGCCTGTTATTCTCGTAAAAGTGCCTTACATCAGTTAATAAATACTTAAGGGAAACACCAGTATTACAAGACCAGTCACAAAACTACCATGATGTCTGGCAACGTTTCCAAGCTATTATTCAGCATATCTAAGTATAAAAATATAGAGAAGATATACATAGGACTACACAAATAGTACTTCAAAAAGATGAAGACACAATCTCTGCCTCAAGAAATCCACAATACCAAGGCTTGAGTAGGGCTACTCAAGACTATACTTCATAAATTAGAAATTTTAAAAAGCCAGCAAAGCAATTAACCTGATAAATATTACAAACATGCTGAGGCATCCTGACTGCAAAGTAGCCAGAACCCTATTGCTGTGTTATTCCACCCTTACATTGAAAACACCTACGTGTTTCCAGTGGTGAGGCTGAATCTGGTTATGACAGAAGAAGTTCCGATAGCTTTAGTTCTGAAGATGTTTCTAAATATCTCCCTTTAGAAGGCGTGGAAGGAATATTTCATTTAGTAAAAAATAGACTCACAAACTGCCTTTCAAAAATATCAATCTTACAAAATGGTACCTTACCCAGTGCTTAAAAAAAAAAAAAAACACCACATTTTAGAGTCTCCTTAATGGCAAATGTTTACCAAGAGTTACCAATTCTGTCAGCCCATCTTTCTGCACTAGGTGTGAGAAGTAATGTAACATAGCAGGTAGCTATTTTTATTTTTATTTTTTTTTTCAGTTACAAACGTAGTTACCTGCTTTACGTCTGTGAACAAATAATAGTATGAAATACCAGTTCACTTTATTTCAGCATGTTCTAATTCTATGAACCTGTGGACTGAACAACTAAAAAACCCTTTTCAGGTCCAAGTATTTCACCTCATCTACATGAAATTAAAACTCTCAAATAGCTGGTGATAACAGCTTTGTGCTAAAACCCAAATTCCATGGCACAGCACTTTCCCCATGCGGCTTTTTCCTTACAAGGTCTCAAACCATAACAGAGCAATGGGATTACTGTCTTGAGTAAGTACCATGAACTGCTCAGTAGTATTTTTTACTGACAGTCTACCTCGAAAGATCTTCAAATTCCAGGAATTTACTGTGTAATGTCACCACCCTTAATTTGTGCTGTCAGCTACCAGTTACAAAACAGCATCAGGAAGCAAAGGGCTGCCCAGCTAGCGCTTCTGTAGCAAAGAACACAGTGTTTTTCAGAAATAGAGTGTTTTGCAGAAAAGGGACAGACTGCCTTAAATACTAGCCAAGTATTGTTGTTGACATTTGCACAACATTCTAAAAAATCCAAGGCTTTGTTTATTCACAGATGGATTAACTTTTACTTATTTTTTATTTATTTGTAAAGCAGGTAGCTTTGGTACTTAAGTCGGGCCTCATTTTTCCTCTTTTTCTCTGACTCTTGTCTACCTAGTAGTCTGATAGTATCTTCATCACATCGATCAATGGTATTTTTGTAGTGCCAGCGCCTGCGTCTCATGACTGGCTCCCGTTCCAAGAAACCAGCCCAGTATTGTGATGTTTGCAGTAAGTCCCACGGACATTTGCTTTTCTCACTTCCTCCGTTCCAAGATTTGTTGGGTATATGGGAACCATCAGAGCAGATTAGCCCATCTGTTCCGCATCCCCCACAGGACTGTGACTGGTACCAAACGCTTCAGATATTTTTTTATATATTATTTATTATTATTATTTTATTTTTTGTCCTGGGTTTTGCCTTCAGGGAAACAGCAAATGACTGATGATTTGGGACAGAAAAAAAATGTTATGTTCTACAAAGCTGACTGAAAACTGGAATCTAAACTCCGAATAACTTTAATATCAGTATTTGAGTATCTCAGGGCACAGCCCCTAGCACTTCTCCGGGTGCCTGCCTGCCGGCAGCAAGCTGCGAACCTCTCGAAATTGCCATTTCTGGGGAAGGAAGGAAGGCCGATAGGCATCTGGCGGCCACCTAAACCAGATCAAAACGGTCTTAAACCAGATCAAACCGCTCGGTGCCTCCCTAAAGCTCTGGGGAGGTTTCCCGAGCAGAGGGGGCTCGCCTCAGGGACCGACCCCGACCCCCCGTCGTGGGGAAATGGCGGCCGGGACGCTCTGAGGTGAGGGGGAGCCCCCAGCCCCCCCCCCCCCCCGCCGCCCTCCCCTCAGGCAGCGCCCGCCCCGCCCTCGCCCCGCTGATTGGTCAAGTCCCCCTGAAGGGGCGGGACGAGCCGGAGAAAATCCTCCAATAAAACGCCGGGAGGGGAGGGGCCTCTAGGGCGGTGCTGGGTTGTGATTGGTTGGTTTCCGCGGTGGGCGGGGCTAAGGCAGCGCGCGAAGACTCGAAGCGGTTTCCTACGCGGCCTGGGCCATGGCGGAGGCGGCGGCGGCGCCCGCTGAGGTGAGTCCCGCAGCTCCGCGCCGCCGGCTGGGGGCGGGCACGGGGCTCCCGCGGGCGCGGCGCAGCGGAGAGCCGGGAGGGGCGGCGAGCGAGGCGGCGGCGGCTCCTTGGCTGCCCTGGTGACACCGCGCCCTGCCTCCCTCTTTCCCTCCCTTTTTGGCGGAAACTACATTTCCCAGCATCCCCTGCGGCGGCGGCTCCCCGCACTTCCGCCTCGCCGCGCGCGCGGGGGGTGCTGGGAAGCGTGAGCTCGGCCTATCCCTGCGGGCGTGCGCGGGGAGGGGCGGGGCCGCGGGGGCGCGCTGGGAAAGGCGGCAGCGAGCCGGGGCGGGCGCGGTGCATGCCGGGAGCGCGCGGGACGGGGCCGTCGGAGGCGGCCCCTGTGAGGGGAGCCCCTCGTCGGTGCTCGCCGCCCGCTGGGGCCGTGAGGCTGCTCCAGCGCGGGCTCTGTTTATTTTTTCCTATGTGCGAGCTCAGTTTAAGCACGTTTAAACACTAATAAAGGTTGTTGTGGTGTGTTCTTTCTTCATAAAGTGTAAAATAAGTGTGAAAATAGCACGGTGTGCGCGTGGGGGGGTCCTGCGCAGGGGTTGGGCGAGGCCTTGGGGTGAGGTTGGGCCCCGTGAGGCGCCACAGCACCAAGGGCGCCCGGTGCTTTGTGCTTGCAGCTGGAAGGTCCCGGCTCGGCCGAGCAGAAGAGCCCCGACAGCGACTCGGACAGCGGGCAGGGCAGCTGCGAGACGGCCTCGCCACGGCTCCTCCTGGCCGGGACAGCGGCTCGCGGTGACGGAGGTCAGTTGAGGGGTCGGGAGCTGGGCCTGCGGGCCGTCGTCTTCAACAGTCCTTTCCTACAAATTTTTAAGAAGTTAAGACTGACTGACCTCTATGAATCCAAAACACCCTCTTTTGTGGCTTAAAATGTAGGCAGGAAGCTCAAAATCCTCCCCCCAAATAAATTTTTGAGGTAGAGAAAGTGCAGGGGTAAATCAAATGTGTTTTATTTGCTTATTTCCTTTCCTTTTATGATTTTCTTGATCTACCAAATCTACAATTTGCTTAATCTATGCAATTACTTACCATAGTTTTATTATTATTTCAACTCACTAATACATCAGTGAAGAATTTCCCATTCTGCATTTTCTTTAACAAAGATGCGAAACCTATAACATCAATTTGGATTAATTACCTACGCTATAGGGAGATGTGGATTCTAAAAACCTCATTTCACGCTGATTAGCTATAGTTGTTGATGTCTGAGAAATTTAACAGGTTGCTTGATAATTAACTCATGAAATTTACCTTTCCATAGCACGCATCACTTCTTGTCTTTTAATATAATCCTTCAGATTCAGAGGAAGAGATTTTTGTGAGTAAAAAAGGAAAAAACAAGAAGGTGCTTCAAGACAGTGAAAGTGAAGATGGAGAGGATGGTGGCACTCCTGTGCAGAATGACACTCTGGGTGGAGACATAGAAAGTGGAGAGGAAAAAGAGAATATTCTTGTCCAGAAGAACAAAAAATCTCGTCGGATTCGCCAGCTTCTGCTGGATAGTGATGACAGTGACACTGGAGACCATTTGCAGATTGAAAACCTTGAAACAAGCAGAAAGACTGTCTTGCCTGAGAAGGATTTGGAAGAGGAGAGTCCGCTGAAATCTGGGAAAAAATACAGAAAACATGAAAACAATTATGAAGAAGAGACGACTAAAAAAACTGTAGTAAGATCTAGGAGGAAGGAGAAGGAGAGGGAGAGAAGAATTGCATCCATCAAACAGCTGAAAAAAGAAAAGAAGCCTAGAGCAGAGGTATTTGTTTTTGGCAGAAATTCTCACATGCTTTCTCCACTAAGTTAAGTTTATAACTTAGTTTAATTATTTTGTTTCAATGCTTCAGCATCACTTGTGTCAGTGTTACTAGAGGGGCTACAGTATAGAATCCACAAGGATTCATTGTACACCCTGCAAGTCCAACAGTTTCACCTGCCAAGTACAAACCCTGATGCCTGATGATTTAACATCAGAGCATGTGAAGCCAGGCAGGAAATCTTTGAGTTTTGTTTCTAGCTCATCATGGGCCTGTTCTGTGCACAAAGTGCTGTGTTTAGTGTTTCTGCTTTTTGATAGTTTCTGGTGAAAACTTCGGGCTACTTTCAAGTTTAAATTCTTCTCTGAATAAACGGCTGCCTGTGAGGTTGTGTATTGTTGCTATTTATAAAATATATATTTCAAATGTAAATTTATTCTGTCTAAACCATTATGTTAAAGATGCCATATACCTATTCTAATTTATTTCATTAAGATCTTTTGACAGTAATCTTAAATTAATTTCAAAGAGATGAATTTGATCTTCTGAAACCAGTTGCATAAATCCTTTATTCTCATGGCACACAGGTGGATGACGGTGAGACACATCCTTTTAATGACAGTGGCTGTCTTCTTGATGACAAAGAACTCTTCGATAATGGCTTAGAAGAGGAAAATGCTTCGCTCCCAGAGGATGAAGAGTCAATAGAATCGATACGGGCGGCAGTGAAAGACAAAATAAAAAAATATAAGGTATTGGTGGGAAGGGTTCTATCTGAGCATGTATTAAACTATTTGGCAAGTCTGCTGCTCTGACAGAGAGTAAAACAGGCCTCTGCTTTTTGTTCTGAAAGATGGAGGAATGTTGTTCTGGAAAGCTGTAAAGATAATGCTACAGTAGAAGCTTTGCAAACCTAGCATAAGTATTAGACAGGATTTGTGTTGGTTTATAAGAATACTCCAGATCCTGTTTTGATGGTTTAGCAGATCAGCTATGATTCTGTACAATTATTTTGACTTTTGGCTTGTTTGCCTGTTCTAGTTCCTGAATATCCTGTCAAATAAATGAATCTCTTATTGGTTTTCCAAGGGTGAAGGCTACAAACATGTATCTGATGCCGAGAATGAGGATCCTATATCAAAAGAACCAAAAAGGAAGGTGAAGTATTCTTCTGTTGTTTGTTATAATGTATAATTAAAAAGCCCTTTATTTGAATTATTTTGTCTTTTCAATGCCGTCCTATGTTTTTGTTGGTTTGCTGCTTTTCATTTTCAACTGGCTGCTTTATGCTGACTTCTTTTTACTTGAAAGCTGGGGGAAAAGCTATTTAGAAAGTACAGAGTCCCATATTTTGCTTTCTGACTTCAGAGGTCTCTTTTTTTTTTTTTTTTTTCTTCTGTTAAGGAGCGGAAAGCAGCAAGGTTAAGTAAAGAAGCCATTAAACAGTTACATAGTGAGACCCAACGACTTATTAGAGGTAAAACATACTTTTTTTTTTTGTATGTAGAGGGGTATAAATATTAAGAAATTAGGAGGAGAAATTGAAAGAATGTTATCTGAAAGGCTAGATCCTTCTCTTGCCTAGCATGAATTTCTTAGGCTAGAATGGTGCAAGACCATTTTTAGTCAAACACCTGCTTAAAGGTATCTTTATAACAAAAGAATAGAAAATTGTCTTGGAAACATAGTATCTTCTTTCATCCTGTAAATTTCCTCCTCGTGACTTGTGCAAAGTTCATGGAATATCTGGAATGTTCAATAGGCATGTAATAAAATTGTAACTGGTTGTGCAATTCTGATACTAACATAATGGATCATTTTCTAATGAATCCACGGGCATGTTGCAAACTTGGTCTTCAAGACTTGCTGTTAAAATGCTTCCCAAACAGCAGCATTTGTTGTATTTGAGTTCTAACCATGCACTTTCTGCCTGGACAAACATCTTTACTGCAAAATATTTGCTATTTCAATTCTTTGAATTTCAGAAATAAGAAACAAATGTCTTAGATGACTGTTTAAAATTTTCTTCCACTTTGTTTCTGTGGTAGAATCATCTGTGTCTCTCCCATACCACGTGCCTGAGGCCAAAAGCGTTCATGAATTCTTCAAGCGTCGACATCGACCAATGTGTGAAGGAAATGCCATGGCATTGCTGAAGTAAGGACTTAAACCTTCCTTGTGTGTTTTCATAAATGTTGAGGATATCCCAGCTTTGATTTTGGGGATAGCCAGACTTTGTAGTAGGCATGCTGTAGGACCTGTATCATGTGCAAACACCGGCTTTGTGTGCAGCCACATAATGCTTCCAGGTTAATTTTAACTCTTGCTTTGACTGGAAAGTCCTAAAGAGAAACTACTACTTTTTCTTAAATTGTTTTAATACCATAAACGCCTTGAAATTTAAGGCATGTCACTGTTAACAGATGGCAATATTGCAGTTTTGACACTTGTCATACCATTGGGGTAGTCAGGACCTAGTAGCAACCCCAGATGAAGTAATATGCCCTTTTGTCCTTCACCTCTTCCTATGTGTTAATGAGAAGAATCAGAAAATTATTTCTTTCTGCCTTTGTTCTCAGCCTCTTCTCCTCTTTCACAATAGGTACAAATGATTTAATTATTTCTGCCTTCATTAGGTCCACTAACTACCAGATCACCCTGAATGAAGAACCTGCAGGCACTAAGACCTTAAGTGCAGATTGCAAAGATGGGCAAACAAGAGGTGGTCAGTCAGCAACTAATGAATCAGAAACAAGCCTTGGCAGAGATACTGGCTGTGAACAAACCTCTCCCTGATGCAGCGGAGAACTCTACAGAAGACTGTACTGAAAAACCTCGAGAGAATGATGATGATTCTCCTACTGTTAAGACTGTAACAACTGTGAGTAATGCAGAAGAACAACAGCACTCTAACTTCCAAAGCACTGACAGCAGTGAACAAAAAGAGAATGAAATTCCTGTAGCAGTTGGAGGCAATGCCCTTGAGCAAAGACATGAAACAGCACCGGGCCTAGAAAGCAATCAACAAGTGGGGCCTGGATTGGTGGCACAACCTGAAAAAGTGAGGAGGTCCAAACTGGATAAACTTCGTGAACTGGGAATAGACTTGACCATCAAGCCAAGAATCTGCTCTGACAGTGAATCCTTCATAAACCTCGACGAATCTGATTCAAATAAAGGTATAATTGTTATTGTTGTTATCCTATCAGCTCTACCAAGTCATCAGAGTAAAACTAAATTTAATTGGAAAACCTTTGAGGAACATTGAGGTGATAGAGCAGGTCAGGCACGCTTTCTTACTCATACAGGTTTTTTGCTTAATGTTGGTATGCGTGTTCTTTCAACTGCATAGAAGGGAGGTTCTGACTCCTTAATATTCAAAAGCTTGGAGAAATGCTTCGTGCTAACTATTTAATGTTGAGTGATTTCAGTTCCGTTCTGCTGTAGTGAATTATGCTTGTACTTAAAGCACATGGGAGCACTTTTTCAAAGTGATTCAAAATCAGACATGCAGTAGATATCCAGAAACAAAACTGCCTTGTGTTTCATAGTGTTTACCACTGATTTTGCTGTCTGGTGGCTGGAAGGGTAGAGTGGAAGTGAATTTTAAGATGCTGTGGATAAATCATAGTCAATGGTAAAGTCATTTAATATTAACTAACATCAATCGATTACAAGTTACAGCAATAATATTCTGTAACTGATGTGTCAAATGTAATTGTCTTACAAATATAAAAAAGTTAAAGGTTTAGAGTTTTTAACTTCCTTAAAAAATTCTCAAGGCCTACTCTATATTCAAATGTAGTACTTGATGATTTTAAATACTATCAAACTGATTTAATTTGCATTTAATTAATATGTATTTACAGAATTAGAAGCCTTGAAAGCACGTTTCTTGAAGCACACTCTTCAAACATCGAAACCCAAAGCTGAACGGACCATAAACATCAACATTATTCGTAAGGAGACAACATCTGAAGGGAAAGAGGAGCTAAAAGCAGACGTGGTGCCAGCAGTATTAGTTTCAGAGAGTGTGGATGAAACAGTGCACACAAAGCCAGGTTGGTCTAGGAGAAATAATGATGCTTGATTTGGAAATTGCTTTTTTTTTTTCTTTTTTCCCCCTCCTGTTTCCCCAGCTCCTAGTACTTCCCCATGAAATACAGATGAATGAATCTTTATTTGCAGAATTAATTTGTTTAGATTTTCCTAAAGGATATCCCTGTTTTAAGAAAAAGGTCTTGATTAGATCTCATAAATAACACTAGCCAGCGTAGATCAGGTTGCCACAGTTAGATTTTTTTTGTTAGTGGTCCGATGGATTTCTCCCTATCCTTACCAAACTTTTATATGAAATATGAATACACTAAATGTAACTCTCAGATTCAGTGTGAAGAACTATTCTTATTTGGTAGATCTCTTATGCTTCCTTAATTCTATACTACAGTTCCTACTAGAAGTGTATAGATTTGCAAGCAAAAATATATGTGGAACGTGACTCTCACATGGTATTCCTTAAAAGAAATAGATCATTTGACTGATCCTATGGGCATGCATTATTTTTAGCTGCTCTTAATTATTTCATGTGCTGTAGCACATCTGCCCATGGCAACTGGAAGCTGTTGCTCCCAAAAGACCCAGTGGAAAGACAGAGCCTATTCTTATGCAGAGGGCTGTGCCTGTGGCGTTTATGGATAATGAGGAATCTTGATAATTCATGAGACTGTGTCGCTTCTTGAAATGGAACTCGTTGAAACTAACTCCCTAGCTCTTCCAGCTGGCAGATCAATTCATAAAAACACTTAAAAACCCTTTAAAAACCCTTTTTTTAATTCACTTTTTATGTGTGTAACTGTATTAGATTGGCTGCTTAAGTTAAGAATTCTTTGTAGTACATCTAAATATATTAATTTATTCATTTCTGTCCAGGTGAAAAGCTACAAGTGCTGAAGGCTAAACTCCAGGAGGCCATGAAGCTCCGCAGGATTGAGGAACGCCAGAAACGGCAAGCATTGTTTAAACTGGATAATGAGGACATGCTGGAAGAAGAGGAGGAGGAGGAGGAAGAGATGACAGATGAGTCTGAGTCTGAAGAAGAAGAAGGCAATCATGAGGTTTGTATGCGACATTTTACATAACTCACTCAGCTTCTCAGTTCTGCTGTCTTTCTACAACGACATCAAACTTTTGTACACTATTAATATTGGGAAGTTGCCAGTAATTCTTAAAAAATAAAAAAACAAATGCTAGTTATCTTGTTCAGTGTTTTTGTAGTATATAAAACTAAATGTATTTGTTTTTGTTTTTTTTTTGCATAAACAGCATTAAAAACAGATATAAGTATATAAAAGATCCTTGTGCCACCTATATAAAGTGTCACCAGGAAATTATATACAAAATAGATCCTTAGCTCATTCCTACCAGGGAACAATTTCTATGGGATGTATGCATACCTAATTGATATCACCTTCCCGAATCTGGTGTGGACTTTGCCACAGCTTTTTATTCTTTAAAAAGGGTCAGAACAGCATGGCTGCTTCAAGCACCTCTATACCAGTTGTCTTAAAGTGAAATAGGGACATGGAGGAACCGACAATGTAATTCAGTTTTGTCCTCCATATGTTAAAATATTTTCTCAAAAAAAGCACACAAAAGCAGGTCAAAGCAATGGCCAAATCTGATGTTTTTGTGGATGCTCTTTAGACTCTGGAATATCTGCTTGATGAGGCAGAGGAAGACGATGATGATGATTCAGAAGAGAAACACGTTGAAGATGGTGATAAAGAAACTGACAAAGAATCAATAGATGGAGAAAAGGTGGAGCAATCTGTGCATTGTGCTTCTGTTCCTAAACCACCTTCAACAGAGTCTACATTGATGCTTTTTAAGGACAGCTCCTCCAAAATGGGGTAAATAAACAAAACTTTAAGAATGGTCCCTGAGCAATTTTAAATTTAAGATACATGGTATATATTTTTTTGATACTTTTTTGTTGTAATTAGTTATTATCTATACCAGCAAATGCATTTTATTTAATTGCAGATACTCTCTTCCTGAAGAGAAACTTGAAAATGAAGAAGCTGCAGACAAGGGATCTACCAAGTTAGGTAAAGTAGAACTGCTATGAAGCTAGCAGTTACTTTTTGTTTTCACATGGCACGTGTAGAAGTTTCTATTCATGTTTGGTATCTGATAGTCCTGTTATTTCATTACCTGTATATTTAAACAATATGACTATGAAAATTATGACTCCTGATAATTTAGGAGAGCTTGAAAAAACTAGAAGGAAATAAAGTTCAAAATTATACTGGGGAAAAGTATAGAAACAGAAATCAATATCGTGTTGCACTTTTAAAACTGAATTTCCTGAATCCTTTAGGGAAAAAATCCATCATAAGTGCAAAATGGTGAATTTTCAGCAAGGTGTCTGTGTTGCAAAATAGTATCTTGAGGTTTTACTGGATTACAAAAAAAAAAAAAAAAAAAGGCATTATATTTAACTATTTCCCTTCTTTTCAGAAGATGATGATTCCTTTTCTCTACCAACGCCAGCAAAAGAGAATAGCCATAACAGCAGCTTTGAGTTGATCGGCTCCATGATTCCATCGTATCAGCCCTGTAACAAACAGATGTCACGTGGAGGGAACTTCTTATCTGCAGCAGGAGGTTTCAGGTCACCTTCCCCAGGCTTTTTCAAAACAAGCTTTATCAGCTCTGCTTCTAAGGTAAGGTTCTTTCTCTTCTTCTTGTCATATAAGAACCAGATGGATAGTGAATTAATGTATCTTATGACTGTCACGTGTATCAAAAAATAACACCAGATGAAGACATTGAGTCAAGTGCTTTTATATGAGTAAGACTTCGGGGACAGTTTGCTTTTTCTGGAGCTTCCAAATGTCTTGACATTGGGTAAGAATGTCATTATAAACTTCTAAAACATCAAATAAAAGATGCTATAATCTGGTTTTGATTTCTAAAATATGCATGTTGTCATATTTTTAAGTGTGCTCACATGGACTGCACAACATTTGACATTAGTGAACTCTTGATTTATCAGAGCGATGTGGAAATACTTTAACTTCTTTTTAGTCTACATGGTCTTTATCCTTTAAAACAGATTAAATATTTTATCCAATTCTCGCTTTTGATTTCTAAGACTTGCAGAATAAATAACTTGTATATTTTTACCTTTCCTTTTCGTAGAGCTCAGGAAAGATGTCTGAACCCTCCCTTCCTATAGAAGACTCCCAGGACCTGTATAATGCTTCTCCTGAACCCAAAAGTTTATTTCCAGGGGCTGGAGAGTCACAGTTTCAATTTTCTCTGGAAGATGACACTCAGAGCCAGCTGCTTGATGCAGATGGGTAAGTTACAGGTGTAAAGAATAACATTTAGTGTACTTTAACAGAAATGGGACATACAAAACAGCAAGGATTTTCTAATTATGGACTTCATTTCAGGTTCTTGAATGTTGGACAACATAGGAATAAATACCAGTCCTCAAAGCATCAGCTCACTCTAGCTAGTATGGATGAGAACGCAATGGATGCAAACATGGATGAATTGTTGGACTTGTGTTCTGGACAGTTCACCAGTCAAGCTGAACATGTGCCAAATACCAGCAGCAACAAAAAGCAGCCCATGGAAGAATTGCTCAATCTTTGCTCAGGAAAATTTGTGTCTCAGAGTACGTCCTGAATTCTAATCTCAGTTTTGATGGTGACTTGATTTATAAGCTTTACACTAACATATGTTTTAATTCTGGTCACTAATGCAGAACGTGGAATGTTCTAAGAGTTAATGCTTATCTGTCTAATGAGTTGTTATCTTACTTTTTGCAGCAGGTTCTCCAACATGGGCTTCATCAGCATCTTCCAAGGCAGAAAAAGACAGTGACATAGAAGATCCAATGGCAGAAGCACTAGCGCTTTGTTCAGGCTCTTTTCCCACAGACAGGTTAGCATTACTCTTCAGAAACGTACAAAAGTTTATGGCAGTAGCTGTTTCATTTCACTGGTGATGTGTTTTTGTGTTTGACATCAATTCAAAATGGTGCAGTCAAAAATAATCTGTTCTGGAGGCAAAGAAGAGGAATGTAGTAAGTTGTTCAATGATTTCTCTTCAAATCAGCAGCACGTGCTGTTTTCCACAACTACTGTGAGGAGAAATCCATCTTTTGTCAGCTGCATGACATTCAGGTGCTCTTTGAACAGTGCTAGATTATTCTCTCTAGAACCTGAGATCACCAGAAGTAACAGCTGAAGTCTAGCCTTGAGTTGTGGAAGGACATCAGTAGGTGTCAAATGAGAACGTGTTTCTTTCATTTAATTTTTCCATAGGGAGGAGGAGGATGAGGAGCAAGAAGAACTTGGTGATTTTCAGCTATTAACAGATGACAACGCCTTTGATAGTGAAGAGGTATGAACTGATAAAGGAAAACGCTAGTGAATTCTGACTTTGAGAACTCAATTTATCTACTTAATTTTTTAATGTATCTGTCAACACAAGGTACAATTTCTTCCAAAACAAGTACTGAAACATTTCGAGAGCAATTTAGATCATTCAAAATGTCTATGTAATATTGTGGTATACTGGATAAAGAGTCTTAGCGTAGCAAATCCTAAAGATGTGTGGTGTTTTAGTCTGTGTTTGACTTAAAGACAGAAGAAGTTGTCATTACAAAGCAAACCACTTTCATAAATTCCTTTGTTTACGGAAACTTTCTCTTTGACAGGATGAAAAAAGCAGAGACAGTGATGCTGAAGAAGCAGAAATAAGTGATGAAGAAGAACAATTGCTGAGACGTAGACAGGGCTTGAAAAAGAAACTGTAAGTGTTTGCCTGTATTTTATATCTTAATTGCCAGAAAGATTAGAACATAATAGCACTAGAAATTTAGTCTATAGTTATTTCTTCCCCAGCACTATTAGCTCAGGTGCTGTTAGTATCAAGATGTTTATGTGACTGTGTTGTTGGCTTTGGTTATTGTTTTTTTTGCTTTGGTGCTGTCATACTGCATGAGTTAACTATGTTGCCGGTTGGTTAGAGAGGATTACAGATGGAAATCAAAAAGCCAGGATGAAAGCAATGCAGTATTTTTTATTTATTTTATTTTTTAAACCAAATCGAGGGTGCAGGGGTATTGCTGTCATTCTTTGTGTGTTAAGGTCTTTATTTGCCCTAGTAGGGAAGACATCTGGTTGGTAGTTATCATTGTCATCACATTTGGCAGGCAACTGATGAGGAATCTGGTGGATAGCAGACATTTGGGGTTGTTATGTATTGGCAGGCTGTATGCACAAATGTGCAAGAATGCAAGTCTTAACCCTTTTGAAAACTAAAGATGAGTCATTTCTTTTTCAGAATATTTGCTAATCTTACATCAAAAGGTTTTCAGGAGACTCCTGTGGTGCTCATTGGTCTACCAAACTAAACTCTTCTAATGTTCTTTGATAGAAACCTGCAGGATTTCATGGAAGATGAAGCTGAGCTGTCAGGGAGTGACGTGGGAAGTGAGGATGAATACGATGGCGAAGAGCTGGATGAGTATGAAGAAGAGATTATTGATGAGGAACTCCCAAGTGAAGCGGAATTAGGAAATCAAGTACAGAAATTACACATGTCAGTGACAGTATTGGTGTATATTTGTGTGTGTGAGGTCGCGGCTCTCAAGTATAATCTGGACTAAGCCTCTCCCTTTCTCTTGCGTTAATAGGAAGGTAGTGCTTGATGATGACAAGCGACAGTTACGCTTGTACCAAGAGAGGTACCTCATCGACGGTGACCTGCACAGCGATGGCCCTGGCAGAATGAGGAAATTCAGATGGAAAAACATAGGTACCTGTCAGATCCGTTTGTAGTAGATGGGGGATGAAAGATTGGAGAGATGATGTATGTATTTAGAAAATAGGATTCACTCTTTCAGAAGAAAACAGTCTTCCAGAAATGTTTTTTTGATTAGTTTTTATTTTGTACTGGTCTGTATATGCCTCCTTTTTATTTTGCTAGCTAACTATTTTTTTTCTCTCTGTCTAGATGATGCTTCACAGGTTGACTTGTTTCAGAGGGATTCAGATAATGATGATGAAAATGAACAGTTTGATGAAACTGAAGTGAAATGGAGGAAAGAACGATTTGAACGAGAACAGTGGCTTCGTGAGCAGGTATTAGTTAGCTTCTAGAAAGGCATCTTGTTCAGTTCTTCTCTGTACCACTGCTAGATATGAAATTGCTAGTTCCTCAAGTTAAGTTCTGGAAAAAATAACATTCATAGATAATCTTTGTTTTTCATCATGAATTCTGCTCTTTCTCTTCCACAAGTATTGTACAGAGAGAAACTAATTTGGAAGGGAGAGGCAAAACAACTTTGTTCTCAAACAAGTCAGCTTCAAAGTTGGAATAGTTTTTCTTATGCTGGGAGAACGACTCACCTAGTATCAAATCTTGTAAAACTTGGGGTTTTGTCAGCTGAATGTGAAGTTAGAAGCTTGTTGCCCCTTAATAGATTGAGGATTATAAAATACCTAAGAAATTGCAATAAACTTTTATGGTAGAAAGTAAATGAATATATAAATTTACATACTGGAAGGACTTGGTCTATGTAAATTACTGAATGTTCATTCTTAATATTTTGTAAAATTGAAAAAGCTCCTATCTTCTCTTTGCTACAGAAGGAAAAAAATGAGGAGGAGGAGGAAGACATTGGTGAAGACAGCCAATTCATGAAACTAGCAAAAAAAGTAACTGCTAAGTCCCTACAGAAGAAAGGTAGGCTTGCCTTTTTTATTATTATTATTTAAATGATAGTCAAAGAGAGGGAAAGCTTAACTTCTAGTCATCATTAGCTAGTCTCCAGTGAACCAGGACATGGATTAGCAAACTCCAGTAAGTAGATTTTTAACACCGGTCCAAGAGCATGACTTCTAGAACTTGAAAAGATAAAAGATAGTGCAGTTTTGTGTTTTCAGTGCCTTAAGTTTGACAACTGTGTGTATATAATTAATAAAATAGTGTGTTACTTCTTGAAAACAGTTGTTGTAGAGGAATTTATTTATACTCTACTTCTTTATTTAGTCTCTTATTCTTCATTTGCTTGCCTTTAAGCTGTGGAGAAGTAGACTGTAAGTGATGTGCTGCCTAGCAGTTTTTTCCAAATATCTTAAAGAAAGATAAGGACTTAAGGAAAAGCTGCGTAAGGTAGTGAAAATAAATGTAGGTTTTCCCTGGCTGTAGTAAAAGCACGACTCCCGAGTGTGCAAAGCTGTTTCTAAACCAATTTTTCCCTTCTAAATGATAGATTGTTCTGGCAATTAGTACTATCAGTTGTACAGCTTGTAGTATAATTTAATGCATTTTTTTTCTGCAGTATTTACTGTCTGTTGTCAATTCTGAGTTCTTCAGTTTGATATAAAGTTTTATTCTTCCAAACTAAGTTCAAAAACTGACAATCTCTTATTTGTCTCTGCTAGCAAGCCCAGCAACAGTGGTACAAGACACAAAACTCTTACCCAGGAACCCGTTTGAAACATTCAGACCTGCCAGTGACATTCAGGTAATGGTTCTGGCATTTCAAAACTGCTTCTGTAGAACACCTCCAAGTCAGCTGACCCAAGATTCTGGCCGTGTCTGATTTGTATGATAGTGATGAAATGCTGTTAGCAAGTAACAGTTTGGTGGGGAGTAGTCTTTTCTATTAAGATTAACCTTCTAAAACAGCTCTCTTTTTTTTTGGTGAGAATGTTTTAATGCAGCATTTCTTTGTTCTTCAGATAAAAAACGGGTCTCTCTTGAACAGACCTAAAGCCGTCCTTCAGAAGCTAGCAGCAATGTCAGATCTTAATCCAAATGTGCCTCGAAATTCAAGGAATTTTGTCTTTCACACGCTTTCCCCAGACAAGAATGAAGAAGCAAAGGAGAAATCAAAACATCAGGTAAAGATTCGTGTGGGAATATGCTGCCAATTTTGTAGATTAGTTAAACATACAGACACCAAACATTGCCAAGTAGTTAAGAGTGTTGCTGTTTTAAATACCCTGTGGTTTCCTGTTGTACTGATATGTGATCTCACAGCAAATAACTGTTATGATTCAGAATTTAAACTTGGAGATTTTGTGTGTTCTAATTTTATCTGTTCCTCTGCAGGTGAAGAAAAGAGGTCCTACTGCTGTAATAACATCTCTGGCCAAATGTCCCAGGATTGACAGCACAGAGGACACAAGTCAAAGTCGAAGTATATTCCAATACTTAGAGAGCTGAAATTTTCTGTTTAGGGCCAGAATTTATTTCTCATCTCTGTCAGTTGCAGTTTGATTTGCAAATCTCTGCCAGCAATCATCAGGAAGGTAAACAAATTGCTGTACACTGTCCTTCCTGCTCCAGCTTTCTTCTCAAGTTCCAGTAATTTCCAAGCAATGGTCTAGTTTATTTCCCTTGTTTTACTTAGTGCTCCGTGATGAGAGTACAAAGACCATGCTTGGTTTGGAATGCTAACTTTGTCTCTCCCAAGCATTAAGGAAATTTACACTACTGTCTGCCATGCTCATAGAATCTCACATGTTTCAATGGTATCAGTTCCATCTGAAAACAATGTTCATGTGATAGATACAACTCAGAGATGCTGTGGTTAGCTTAAAGCACAGATGAAAGATGTATTCCTGCAGGTTTAGGTACAAGGAAAGCAGTATTAACTATGGCAGGATGTATGTTGTTTACATTTGCAGTACTGAGGTAGCTGTGGCTCCCTTCAGTGTCTTCTTTAACATTAAGCATTTATTAGCTTCATAACTTCAGAAGCTCTGATGTACATTTGTAATATATGTTTTTAAAAAGTCCACAGTCTTTTATGAGGCAGTATGATGAGGATTTCTTTCCCTTTTTCCTTTTTGTTTTTAAAATTTGTATTCATACACATGCACATGAATGTGTGAGTGGAGAGGGAAGAATGTGAGTAACAGATACAGGAGAGGAAAAGGATGTGTGCGGGTTGCTTTTTTTGTTTGGTTTGCCCAAGTGAAAACTCTAGTAAATTATCTGCCCCCTTGTTTTCATGGAAGCTGTGCTTATCCATGACAAATCATCTACTTCTGAACAGCGAGAAATGGAAGGCCTTCTGTAGAATGAGGAAAGTAGGTAATAAAGAATCACTATTCACAGCTATTCTAAATAGCGTGAAAGAAACTTGAGACGCAATATACAGCATTTCTGACCTTTCTGATTATATGTTGAATGTGTTTAAAATAGACACTGTTATGGTAGTGCAATTAAACATCTTTCTAAAACTTGATGTCATGTACTTAGGTTGCCCACTCCGTCAGAGAAGAATTGTGAACTGTAAATTTTGTAACGCTGTAAGCATATGCCTGGTGTGCTACATGTAAAATATTTTACTGTATATTATGTTTATAAAGAATTATGGTACCAGTTGGAGTGCAATTTTACAATAAAACATGTTTTTAATTTTGGAGGCAGTTGGAATTAATTTACAGCATTTCACTCAGTTGTGTGTGGTGTTTTTTGTTTTTTTTTTTAAAATGTTCATCTATCTGCTTCCCCCTGTGCTTTCACAGCCCTGACTCCTTCCTTCACCAGGAGCAGCTGCCTTAATACTGGAATACGACAAAACAACCCCCTGGTGTTTATTGGAGTGTAAATTCAAGTCTTCTACTTGGGTTCAATTTGTATACAGTTCTTGGTCCTAAGAATACATTCTTTCTACTGCTTCAATAGTTCTGGTTTTGTTAGTTCCTAGACAAAACTTGCTTTATCATTGGCTTGAGGCAAGCTTGTTGCCCCTCGTTACTGGATTTGAAGTGGGAGGCTGGATGTGGCCTCTCAATCCAGCCTCTTAGAATAAATTTTTTTGCAAGTATTTCAACATTCTTATTTTATTTTGTGTGTAGAGCAAGGCTGGAGTTCATTCCACTGGGCCACACAGCTCCTTCTGCTTGGCTTCTGTAATCCTCTGTGGGCAGAAGTAGCTCTCCCAACTAAAGCCTCACTGGCTGCTGTAAATTTACAAAGAAATCTGTTTGTTTACAGCTGTGATGGCAGCATTGCACTGCTGGGACTGAACAGAGTGTGCTAAAGGTGAGGTAATTGTACACGAGGACCAGAGCTGTGCAATCCCTCAAACTTAGCCAAAAACTGAAGAACTGAAAATAGGGTTGAAAGGGCTGCACAGGCATTTTGGTGAAGAAAAGAACAAAAATAGATGCATGTGAATGGAATAAGTTGCTGTAACAGTGTGTCCATCCCTGGAAGCTTTTGCAAAATGTTATAGTTGGACAAACCAAGCCTGTTTCAGGTCATTCTAGCAATTAGTATATCTGGATTTTAGGGCTGGGGTTTGAAAAAGCTTTTTACGCAAGAGACTGCTATGCAGCTAATTCTTTATCAACAGTTGTTTGCACTGGATTCTAAATTGTAGTAATTCAGACGATTTACTGGACAGACACCTTCAAAGCTGCAAAATTCGGCACCTTTTATTAACTCTGCCGATATGCCTGCCACTAGAGAGCAGCAAGAGAATGCTCTTCCCCTAACCCAGGGGGAAGGAAATATGATTAAAGCTTAAACCATACTCTGACTCAAAGGGAAATTGTTACACTTTTCCGTGCTCTACAGCATTGCGCAGAATTAAATTAGCCTCTTCCCTAATTAGACCTATAATTGCTACATTTTTGCATCAGAAGGCAGTAGCTTGGAGAGCTGGGTTGAGGAGGAACACTTTCAGAGGGCTGGCTGTGCCACAGGGGTCTTACCAGCCTCTGCTCGGCGTGTGGCAGCCACGAAGCTGGCGTTTGGTTTTTCCTCCCCTCAGCACAGAGCTGAGAGCCAGCCGAAAGCTGTTTTGCTTGTTCCTGAGCTCAGCTCCTAAGCAGAAAAATCCGACGGGGCCTGAAGAGCTTACACGCTGGAACGCGCTGAATGGGAAGATTTCTGGCAATTGCTGTTTGGAACAAACGTTCCCCCCACAAAAGCCTTTTCAGGAGTCTAGGGTTTGTTAAATCCTGCTGTTAACCGCTGCGAGACACTCAGGAAATGCCTCGTGCAGGAATTATCTTCCATGCAGTGTGTTTGGAGGAGGCAGCGATAGGAGACCTAGCGGTGCTCTCACCCATCCTCACGCCCTCGCCCTGCGTCCAGCCTTCCCCGGGCTGGCCTCCACCGCCCGTCTGACACGTTTGCTCAGCCTCGGCTTCTCATTTTCAAGTATCGATTCAGCTCGCCCCTCCTGGCACTGACACGCTGTGGCTGTGCTAACGTGGAGAGAAAATCTCCCCCTCTTGCTGCTGGAAGCGCTGGGAGCTGTCCCGGCCTGGCGGCGATGGGGATGTGACCGATGGGGACGTGGCCGGGTGGGAATGAGTCCTGCCCGCAGCCCCAGGGCACGGCAGTGATGTGTCCGACACTTGGCTCCTTCCTTTTCCCATAAAATCATCCCTTGGGCTAATTCCCAGCGGTTTTTGCTCAGAGCTGGGGTTTGTGGGGTCTGGGTTTGTCGATGCCTGAAAGGCAAGGCCTCTTAGTGCCGGCGCTGTGGTAGGACAGAGGATTTTCACCCTAATTAAGCAGCTGTAATACCTGCACATCTCCATGCCTCAGTTTCCCTTACCCACAGAAGGAAGAGAGGAATAAAACCTTTGGGATTTGTCCTCCCCCTGTGCTGCACTTGGGAGCCTCGAGGAGAGGAGCGCTGCTAAGTACCGGTATCGTCTGCTCAGTTTGCAGGGGAACGAGCTGCCAGGAACCCAAATGACAGCGAAGAAATTAAAAAAAAGAACTTATAATCAGGGGAAGGAACGGTCTTCGGTCTGTGTTAAAGGTTAACATTGCAGACACGTTTATAATCATAGCTTTCACCACCGCGCAGCTCCTCGGGGGCTCGAGGCAGTCACTGAATTATGTTTTCTTTGCCTTTTTTTTTTTTTTTCTTTTTGCCAAGAGACTGAAAGGGAGAGAGGAAAAAAACTATTTGTTTGTCTTGTCTAATTTAATTTATGTTATTTATCAAACAGACAGGTTATTTGGGAAACCAGATGGACCCAGGCTAAAATCATCTGTATTTCCAACATGTGAAAAATTATGTCAGAGTGGACACGTGAAGAGAAGCGTGCTGCATGTTCTGTGGGTGCTTATCACACCAGCTTCCAAACCTCGTCTGTCCCGGGTCTGTAATCAGTTGTCCCAGACCCAATACGAGGGTTAAAGGACAAAAAGAGCCCCGGGCACCCGCACAAGTGTGGATGGGGACTGGGCCTTCTCAAACACCTGTGTCAAAATTATTTTCCCCCGCTGGCTTTCAGCCCTCCCATTAGCTGCCTCCTGGGCCCTTTCTCCAGGAGGGGTGAACAGAGCACAGTTTTGGGTCCAGGAAAATGATTTTAGTGTGTTCCTGGTTTTGGGAGGGGGCAGGCAGTGAGTGCAGCAGCTCTTTTCCTTCAGGTTCCTCAGCGTTAGGAAACAGCAGCGGACATAGAAGCGGGGCCCGAATGGCCACAGCCTGACTGAAACTGAGGAGATAATTTAAGAAATTAGGGAGTGTGATGTATGAATAGAGTAAAAGAAAGCACGACTCCTCTGTTACTAACAGACAACACTGTCCTCGCTAAGAAGAAAAACACAGAGCAGGAAAAAACCATCTGCAGGGCTGATAATTCACAGGTGTGGGCCGGGGAGCGCAGGCCGGCCCGAGCACACCTCTGGTGCCCGTGCTTAATTAGTGGGCCGAAATCAGCTGGATCCCCTTCCTGAAGTAAATTACTTAAAAATCTGGGGTGAAAAGTGGGGCTGGGGAAGTGGAGAGGTGAGGAAGCTGCTGGTTTTGGGCAGGGTTCCTGAATTATTTCTTGGTCACAGATCTGAGCACCCAGTGGGTGCCCCGGGGTCTCTCAGGGTGTGCAGAGGCTGCCAGGCAAACAGCCCTGGGATCTGTGTCCGGGTCGGGTTTATTGGACAAAACTTTTGTTCTATATTAACTATTAGTCATTAATACTAATTATAACACTGCGTGTGCTCTGTGTGGACAGATGTTGGGTCCTAGCGGGCTGTTATTTTCTCTCGTATCATCCAGAAGCCCGGTTTATGGCTAACTCCAGCTATGCTCCAGACAGCAGAGGCCTGAACCAGCAGTAATTAAAGAAAATGACATAAAAGATTGCTCTGCATGGGAGAGGGGCGAGGAGCAAGTCTCACCGCTTCGCAAGAGATTAATTTTATTTTTAGCTAATATTTTTTCCCCTGCTCCTCAAGGCTGTTTTCATGCAACATGCTCTGTGCTGCTTCCCCTACAGTGCCCCATTGATTTTCAATATTTGATGATGTTCGTGCACGCGGTGATGAAGGATGGGTAGCGGAGAGGCTTGTCCCCCTCGGAGGGTGATGCGTGCATCCTTCACCTGTGTCCTCGCGGCACCCTAGGACCACCGGGCACCTTTCAGGCTGAAATTTATGGGGAGACCCTCGGAGGGGAAACATTCCCCATGCCTGGTGTCCCACGGGCAGCCCCTGCTTCTCTCCTCGGCCTCGCCGTGTCCCTGCCATGGGCACCGTGTCCCCTGTGCAGCGCCTTTCCCTGGTGCCTCATTTCCAGCCCCTACGGTCAGTGGAGACTGATTTCTGTGCAGGAAGTGTAATTAATGGCTGAGGCGCTAACGCCACCTCGCCGGCTGCTCAGGATATTAATAGGTGGTATTTCCACATTCCTATTTTACATCAAGCCTGAAGGGGGGCTTTGAAATCCCCCGACCTTCCACAATTAAACACCAGATCAGAAAAAACAGCTTTTCCTTCCTTCCTTCGCTTCTGCCTCCCAGCCCAGCGAGGTGGGGTGAACCCCAGGTAGGGACAGGAGTGGATTTTTCCTCATTTTTCAGTGCAGCAGAGAGGCACGGCATGGATGAGGTGTCACCAATTCCCCTGGGGTTCCTTTCGCTCTGCAGGGCAGGAGGGATGGGCAGTGGGGACCCAGCCCCAGCTCTGTGCCCTGCTGGTGCCAGCTGCTCGGAGCAGACTTTGTACCTTAATGTCAGCACCAACCCAGTGCCCCAGGATCTACATCCTTGTCTCGGAGGCTCAAGAAGTGAGCCCTGGCACCTCATCTTGGTGGGGAAAAGCTCCTAGTGCATGGCAGCACCAGGATCCTACACACTGGGACGTGGTCCCAGCCCTGAACCACGGTGGGATGTGGGTGCAGACACCCCAGGTCGGTGAGACGGGAAGCCGAGTCCCCAGCCATGCCAGACAAAACCAAAATCAACCGATGCAAAGGAGATGATAATTAAAGCAACAGGCAATTATGCCTGACATGTGTTCCCCATTTCGCGTGACGTGAGGGCAATGCTCTCAACGTGAAGCTCTGAGCAAGGCTTCCGGGGGATGATATCACAGACGGATCTGGCCTTATTTTGGTAGCCTTTGCTCCACCTCCCCGTTTGCTGAGCGCGTGTGATCCTCGGAGCCGAC